TATTTTAATGATTATCACCATAACGATACATTGAAGATCGTCGATTTTTTTCTGGCTAAAATGTAGGTATAATACTTAATACAGTATATTACTTATTTATGCTCATGCAATATCATAAATTAGTGAAGTGATACAAGAAATAATTTATCTTAACGTGAAAATCAGACAATAAAATTATCTACTACGCTTGCAATTTATAGTTCTGTAGATTGACTAGTCAAAAATAAAAAGGAACAACTGGTAAGATCGGCGAATTTATAATTATACATAATGAAGATAATCAAGGATGGCTGCTGCCATTAAAGAATCGTATATAGCTTTTTCTTCTTTTACCTCTCTGGAAAATTGGCGGGCGTTGTAATATATTTAACACGTGATTGTAGATGCTTTAGCCAATCGTATTAGCGTACATGAGTCATTAGTTTGTATCGTATTGCGTAGATATAAAAGCTGTTAACTATCCTACGGCCGCTTGAGGTAGAACTCTTAAAAATATCTGGCAAACGGAGCTACATCACCGTTATCCTATTTACTAATCTCCCTGGCACGTATCAGAAATATTACAGGATTGACTAAAATTTTAACGTCAAACTACAATCCATTGAAGCAGGTATAATAATAGTGTCCGAGATTTGAAGTTTTAGACTATATCTTCTCTTTAACATTTATTCCACTAGTGATTTTATGATCTATTTGAGTCTATTTCGTTGATGGTTTACATCTTACAACGACTTTATTGTGCACTCAAATCGATCTGATCGCTTCTATTATACCCTTTTAACTTGACTTACTACAAATAGCGGACAATAACTAAAGTGCTACTTCAACTTCATTCATTTGATGAAATCAATTGAAGTGTTGAATACGTAAATAGCATTTATCTCGTACTACAATACTATCATAACTCTAGTAATTCGCAAGATAATTTATACCGTAAGCGATGAGATAGCAATTAACTTAGTCTAAAAGAATCAGCATAATGCTGTAAAGGAATGTAGGCGAAATAGCTGACTGAAACTCAACTTATCCTTTTAAAGTACTTCGTTTTTCATAGCTTATTTTAATTCATATCCGGTATACATGTATACCGTATGTATTGCTCCCAATTTATCTTAAATTGGATCTTGCATATTTTCATATAGGAGTAACAGCTACGTATAAAATGGTTGTAAGCCGAGCTATTAAAGGAGTCATTGAAAAAAATTATTTAGAAATAAGCAGAAGTGTCCCTTTGGTACATATACTATATGCTCTACGTGGTGTACAAATTTTATCTAATGAAGAAGTCGAAAAACTGAGAGATGACTGTAAAACTGACGACGAACGAGCCTTTGAATTCCTAAAAGTACTGGAATCAAGGAGCGATAATAACTTTTATCAATTTTGTTGCTTGCTAAGAGAGAGCAATATTCGTAATGTTCGAAAACTTGGTAAACGAT